CCCCCCCCCCCCCGGAAAGTTTTCTGCGGGTGCCCATGAATAGAACTATAATCTCATGTAAGAATATCGTTGATGCATTACCTCATTTCTATGCAAAATATATGTAGGTGCGTCTATAAAAATGCCCCTTTTGTTGCTATAAAATCAACAAGACCCCAATGTTTTCGGAATGAGTACATTTTCCCACTTAAAAAATGCCAAACGTATCTAGATTCTAACCAAAAACGAAGGCATGTCAAAAAAGTATAGGATTGTACAACTTATAGAAAAAAAAAATGATGTGTGCATCAAGTGGAGGAAGAAGGATGTTTTTGAGAGAATGCACATCCATTGATTAATAAATTCAGAAAAAAAAGTTTTAAAAAATCTCTGATAATTATAAGAATAGTCCATGTATATCTCTGATATTGCCAATCAAGCCACCTATGCGGTAGAAATACACGTTTAAAAGATAATAAACGAAGGGAGACAACACTGAAATTAGCAAATGAGAATAAATGAACTTTTTGTAATTGTTGCGTGGTATGAGCTGAGAATGAAAATTAAAAAAAAAATAATTGAAGGGCTTATAATACATGCAGCTCAAATTATACCTATTAATTTATTTCTATTTAAATGTTTTGATATTGTACTGATGAAGGCATTTACGGACACGTTTGTAAGTAATATTTAAGCTGAACATATATTATTGTAATTCAACATATTGTTCCAGTCAAATTAAACTATTTTAAAACTTTATCGTAGTCCAACACTCTCACATGGTCTTATAAGCCACGTTGGAAAATGATCAAAATGAAGATGTAATGAAGCCGGAAAAAAAATTACTTATACATTCAGTGAGCAACAGAGACAAGATAAATGCCACAAAAACTCTCGTCTCTTCACTCATTCTTTCAAAATTTGACTACTGTAACATTCTTCTCTCAGGCATTCCTCAACACCACATAGAAAAACTTCAGAAGGCACAGAACTCAGCATGCAGACTCATTTTTAAATCAAAGAAACATGACCACATTCAACCACACATGCGGCAACTCCACTGGCTTCCAATATCCTCTCGCATCAAATACAAGTCTGCCAATCTTTGCTTCAACTCGTTCACTGACCCTCACTTTCCTGTCTATCTCTCTGAATTGTTGCTTCCTTACATCCCCACAAGACAACTACGTTCTTCCATTGACAGTAGAACCCTCTCAATCCCAAGAACTAAAACTAAGACCATCGGGGAACGCTCCTTCTGCTTCCATGGGCCCACGTTCTGGAACCAGCTCCCCTTCCATATACGTCATAGTGAAACCTCGTCCATTTTCAAAAAGTCCCTTAAAACTCATCTGTTTAGGTCCGCCTATGACCTGTGATGCACCCTCCTTGCCCTACCTAATTTTCTGTTTCGGTTTAATCCTGAAGTGTCAAAGTGTCCTCTTGTTATAGCCATTTTCATTGTTTCTATAGAATAGTAGTTACTATCCTAGAGTCTCATTTGTATTTACTTAGTTTACATGTTTTAATAATTGTAAAGCGCTTAGAGCTTTAAGATAAGCGCTATATAAAAATGCCTAAATAAATAAATAAATAAATTATGTCAGTGATCGTTAAAAAAAATGTTTATAAAAAATGTGAAAGCTTCTTCACAAGATTCTATTTTTTTTAATGTTATGTCATCTTTAAACTGTAATTATGATTAACTAAAAGTACTCTAAATGTCTAACGATAAGACTACACATAAATTTATTGTAGAGCTGGTGTTAACCAGAATTCAATGTAGCCGGCTGGCCAGTAGCTATACGATATATATATTAACAAAAATATTTTTAAAATACCAAATACTTTTAGCATTTAATTTTAATTGGCCTATTTCATGGGTGGAACAATTCTGTTTGTTTTTGTGTTACAAATATATGTAGAGTATAGCCCCTTATCTCATAGTTAGGTCAATGTGTTGTCTTTATAAAAAAAAATACATGACTATTAAATAAAAATACACACACATGATATATGTAATAACTAAAGCAGTAACACGTAGAGATTCAATTAAATTATACACACAAAATATAGGTATTTATGATATAAATATAGGCATTGATGAATCTATTGAAATGAAGAGGAGTTGTGATCATGATTTGGAAATTACTTTCCGTGAAGCTCTTTATTAAAACAAATACTTCACACCTATTAGACAAGATAATATTCAAAATTCTGAAGAACCTGATTTGACCTAGCAACAATATTTTTTTTTTAAAAAGTAGATGGTGAAAAATAGTTGGCTTGTTTTCGATCGACGCTGTTAATTTGAACTAATTAAGTTTCGTGATTTAAATATAAATGATAAACCAATGAAAAACGATATTCCCATTCTACATTATCAAATTGTAACATCTGACATAATCTTAAAGTGTTTTTTAATACATGAATCTGAAAGGCGAGAAAATAATCAAAATAGACTTGACGTTTTCAATAACACACAACGCCTTAAGGTGATACAGGACGTTTTAAAATCTTTTCAGCCCTACTTTGTAAGTAGGTCAACGTTTGTGATTAAGCGCGAATTCATATCTTTAGAAATTCTTTAAGTGGGGAAAAAATACGGCCTAGTAAATAAACATGAGTTGAAGTCGTTATTTAAATCGGAACTATTCTTTTTTTTTAAAAGCAGCAACAACAACATAATGTAAATATGTTGTTAAGATCGACACCCGTAACACAATTTTCGATATAAAATAAATAACAACCTTCTCGAATTCACTGTCTAAAGTATTTGGCACAGAAAACAAGAGAGTATAGTTGATAATAAAAGACAAGATACTTTTATTGATCAAAATACATTACTTTCGTGTTGTTTTTTTTTCATCTATCGTACATATTTCCTGTCTTTAAAATCTTTTTTTTTTATTTATCTATATTCCTTAAAAGCTAAGTTTGCGGCAAGGTTAACTAAAGAAGAGCATATAATTTTGGAATAAAGTAGTTATATTTTTTATTAAGGCCAAAGTGATAGATGGTAAAATGGTGTGGGTAGTTTGATAACACTGTATCCGTGCATGTCGGCATTATATGACATAAGTGTGTAAGTGTGTTTTGGGAGGGGTTATTGGGTGTAAGTGTTCGTTGGCCCTGCGGCTAACTTTGATATAGAAAAACGCATTGTTGCCAAAATGTATGATGGATCATTGATCAAAGCAACTATCTTTGTTCAAGTAAAATTACCCTGTTTAATTACACTTAATGCATTATATTATATGTTATTTAGTTTAGAAAGGCTAGAAATCTAAGCATCGTGTTACACATTCAACTATTGAGACCAATTACAAAAATGAGAGTTAGGGCTGTAATGTTGGTGTTTAATGTCTATGTTTCACATATTAGTAAAACATTATTTTTTGAAGCACAACTTCATGCTTGTAACTAACACACATAAACTTAAGATATCGTTAAAATTGTTAAGTCTATTTCACACCATATTTTGAGTGGATCAAAGTGTGTGCATAATCGCGAATTCAATTCTTAAGAAATGAAATATAATATAAATAGGTCAAACAAGGAGTTTCCTATTCATGCACGACCTGGCCCCTTCTCTGCTGACGTTGTGGGCCTGGAGAAATTCCAAAACGGCATTGATCAGTGAATCCGCGTTGTAACATTACGTCAATCAAAAAGTTAACCGATCCCTTTTATATACAGATATATTTTAATTATCTGATTGAATCAAATAAGTTACTAAAATGTAGACAAGTTATTTATATAGACTAATGTTTAAGACATGTAGTTTAGACTGCCATTGTGCCTGTTTGACATTTCTCTGTCTAAGCTTGCTTAATTAACACAATATTTTGAATAAAGTTTTAGAGAGTTCCTTAAAAATAAAAAAGGAACCTGGAAAGAATGGGATGAGATTGGATAAAGGGAGAACCACGTAGGTTGATATAATTGGACGTTATTACCTCTTTGATAACCCAGTAAAGATACACCACTTCTTAAAAATGTAATTTCCACTTGTCATAACATAGCGCATTTTCCCATGAAACTTGTAGAGGTGACCTTGGGGTAATGAATAGTTTCTGGGTGGTAGCGTCAGTACAACACAACTACGTGGGGTCTAAGCTATTCAAGCTTGTTGAGGCGTTTATTAATTCAGGGTGCAACAGTTTGTGTTTAATCAATGTATGCATGAGGGAGAAGCATGAAATTCAGCAGGGTGGGGGTGGAAGGAACCGTTAAAAAAACACGAGCAATAGGGTCTTTCTCTATGTACACACACTATGCTTGTTGTAACCTTCTTCAAAGTCATGATATCACATCTTATTACATGGTTGTCATTGACATAATTTTAATGCTTAATTTTGTGTAAATGTAAAATCTTTCTATTTTAGTATTTATCATAATTGATTTAATATTAATTATAAGTATTATACTCTTATAATGACTACTCTTTTATAAAGATAGGTTATTAAAGAAATGTTTGTTAAAAAAATAAATCGAATATAGATTAATTGATTTAATACAGATGTTTTTTATCTTGCTAACATTAATAACAACTTAAACACGGAAAAGTGTTATGTAAATACTATATAGCTATAAGCTAAACAAGTCAATGTGAATGTACAAACGTCTCAAAGGCATTTAACAAAAGAAAACGCAAAGAAAGACAACATTGATTAACTCAAAACTTGAAATAAGTTATTTCCTTTCTAAAATGTTCTCATTTTGTTCGCTTTGATTAGAAGACTTTACATA